CTCGTAGAAACTTGACGGTCACAACCACAGTGGTAGGACGAACTTCGTGGAGCGATCGCCTTCGTGGACACCATGTGGACACGACCCAGTGGTCTGACGTCACCGCCGATCCAGCATGTACACTGTGGCCAGTGATGTTTCGTTCTACGCCGAAGAATTCGCATTCATAGACATGAAAATTCCCTATTTCGGGGATTTTTCCCTGTTAACGTTGACGAAAGTTCCAGCATACAGCATATTTCCCTGCATAACAGTACTAATTTCTGCCCTCATCTACGCAAACATATAATTACACGTGTATGACGTACTGGCCACTTTTGAAATCATGACTAGCCCACCCGCTGCCACACAACAAAGCCATGGCATATTCATTCATATAGTGATAGTGCACTGCACATTGCGGGCTTCAAGTCTAACACCAATAATGAACTAGAAATCGCTCCGCGTATATCAAATCTCAAGGGTTCTGCTAGCGTGGTGCATGCAGCAGAACCGATTACAGCAGATGAAGGCGCACTGTGACCGCTAATTATCGGTCGTCATATGAGAGTTTAACCATTCCTGAAATACCCTGCAATATCGCGAAGATTCCTTTTGGCTCAAAATGACAGGCGAAAATTCCCCGATAAAACAAAAATTTCTTGCACAGAACATCACTGAGCGGCTGCGCCTGTGAGACTTACTTCACCGTGTGTAACCACTTTGAAAGGTGGTTTCACTGCCGCATAGGTTCTCTGGGCGGTGAAACGAACCACTTTGGGGATATTCGCAATGCCGTGAAGCGACCTTTCAAGACTGAATTAGGTTATAGAGCCTGCAACCCTGTTAGTTTTAAGCAGCGAAGTTCATTGGACATTTGTATTTATAGTGGGATCAAATCATATCATCCATCTATATTAAAACACTTGTGGGCTCTTATCGCAATAAGAACAAAAATTCATTGAGAAAACCGAGTTCATGTGTGTTACCAGAAAAAAAAAATCAAGCAATGATTTATACCGCACAGCACGAGCAATGAGGTCGCACCTCGCTTCCAATTTTCTTTGTCTATTTGAATAGAACCATCATATGCATCATTTATAAATTTGTTGTACTGTTCTTGCGTCATCTCTATTCTCAAAGTGTACATTCTGAATTTTCTTTGTTTTGGAAATTTTGGGTATACAGTGTTTTTATTTCGTAACTTGATAAGACAGATGCTTGGGCTAGTTAGTGATAGGGAATCAACATATTTGTACAGCGCAAGACTACGAGTAGTTACGACGTAACTACAGAAGAAGAGACAAGGACAGAAAGAGCGCTGACTTCAACTGAAATTTCATTAACGAAAATGCTGGAAATATATACTCATGACGGAACACCACCGCGCAATGTACTGCATCACAGCAAGACAATCATTATCTCATTATATGGTTACAACGCCACAGCTCAGCACAAGTTCATAATCAATTGTGTCAAAACCAGAAACTCGCTTTCTTTTTTAGTCTGAGCAAGCGAAGGCAGGCTGATACATCGATCACCCATCATTTGCATTTTATTGGCCTCCATAATCTCTCGTGTTAGCTGCTGAGGGTGTTTGGCTACAACAGTGCACTTTTCGAAGTGTTGGAGGGCCCTATTAAGTTTAAAAGCTTGTTATATGGGCCAAGTAGGAAACTTCTAAACACAAATATTTTACTGTGTACAACTTGCAATGTAGTCATATTTAAATCACACATTTAATATAAACTTGCTTCCACTTTGCTTCAACCCAAGAAAGCGTAAGTCGGAAAAACTTGTGGAGCTTGCTCAGACTCGGACTCAACAAACATTTTTGGGAGCCGTACTCACTATCACGAAAATTTGTTCAACGGGACTCGCTCGGACTCGCTGTCTTTTTCGACCACAATGCCAGTGTTTTTTAACACCGAAATTTCACGTAATCGATGCTTTTCTTGGCACCTTTTCATATGGTGCCTTCGAATACGAGTTATGAGTGCTCGTAAACCAGTAAGGTCATTTTTCGTGAAAGAGATGACAGCGTAATATATATTCATCACCAACTTCCTTTAGTTGTCAATGGTAAGGGAAAGGTCAAGGCCTTCCACCATGTAATTCATGCCACTGATCAATAAATATTCAAATGGTATACAAAAAACACTGCTTTGAAATATGTGAGCATTGCCGCGAGTATGAACGCTGATCTAGGTAAAGCAGATAGTAATGCTGAAGATGTGTAGATATGACCATAGCTTGGCAAACAAAAATTGAACTCAGATTCCCTCAGGAAATGTATCTTGCACTTTAGACTCGCCCGGACTCAGAATCACCAAAATTTTCCAGAGACGGACTCATTTGGACGCACACTCACAGAAATGTTAAACTGGACTCTCTCATTCTGAGACTAGGGCCTCGATCCGAGTTAGAGTGAGTAGACAATGAAGTGAGTTCGCTGATATCTACAAGAAAGAGACATTCCTGGTATAAGAGCAGAAAAGGACACTGTTAAGAGGCGAGGAAATTACACAAGCGCATGTGATATTCGTACAAGCCTAGTTCTTATTCGTAAAATTCTTAAGGTTATTGGATCATAATAAAAATGCTTGATTTTAAATGATTCAATCAAATTACTACTTTTTCAACCTCACATAACTATTTGCCCATCACTAAACCTTGCAGTTCTTGCTTCTCTGGCTGTTTTGGACAGGTGCGTGAAAGAAGTTGTGGCCCAAAAATCCCATAAATGTTTTCTGACAGGGCGGACTGTTGGAGGCCTATGTTTTTCAATCAAATGTTTAATGGTAGAACTGAAGATTACCAAGCATATACAAGCTGTCTTGTCAGGTTTCATGCATATTCGGAATTCGCTGTGAGGAGGGCTCGACATTTGTAATCAATTTCCAGCATTTCTAGTGCAATGAAGCTGTAATGTTCAGGTACAGTTTTTTTAGAGGGACTGTCTACTGCACAGAACTTTTTGCTCATTGCGGTGAAAATGAGAAGATTGTTAATCTCATCAGCACCAATGAGCATGTTTTTGTACCATATAAAAGGAGTAATTTTGATGTTGAAAACCTACAAAGCAACTGCTGGCACCACCCAGAAGCGATGTGGTTCTATTTATCCACACAGAAATGCTCGCAAGTAGGCTGATTTTGCTTAAAAACAAACATGTTTAACTTGAAATTGCATTTCATACACTTGAGGCAACTTTAGACTGCACAAGAGAGTATTTTTGCTTGTTTTATCACGTGTTCAAAGAGGCACCGTGGCACTGCCGGCGAGACGATCGCGTGCTTGCCTACGGCGGAAAAAAGCGAGTGCTGCGTCTGGCGCCGCTCTCAACAACAACAACAAAAATGTCTTCGGCAAGTATTAGCACAACTGACTTCAGTAAATTTTCAAACCTTGCCCGTGCGTCCAGTGTCATCTAGTAATGTTGCGCGAGCCTTTGTGCTTAAAGTACACAACAGTACTTACCAAAGTTCTACATTAGAGAACATTTTGCTATCACGTTTCGCTTAATCATGTTGCCCATGCTGGCTCTCATCCCGTATGCAACGCAGAACACCTAAACACAACTGCAAGACAGCGGGGACCTTCTGCTGTTTTGTGAAGGACATTTCATGTTTGTTTTAGTTGCATGCACACTTGTCACGAGTAAAACCACTACAGTTCGTTTTACAATGCTGGCGTACCAGTGTTGCTGGAACAAACTCTTCCCCTCAACTGTGGTGGTTTTTGAGGCTAACTAAACAAAGATGGAGAAACTTCGGTAATACATTATCTGACAATTTCCATGCTTTATACGACCAGTATGGTGTATGTAGTATTATTTGCGAAGGCCTTGCAAAACTGCACACGGTTTAAGTTTTAGACTTTCACACCATTGTGATCACGTCCACCAGCCATCGTTCTGGGCGTTCATCACTCTGATGGAAGAAGACTGAACGCAGAATAAAAAAATTTTTTCTCAGGATTTCTACACACTTGCCAGAGAAACCGTTGGAATGTTGGACACTTTAGACGTATGCTTTTTATTACGATACAAAACAGCAAAGCGGTGGAGGAATATCATAGTCACTTGAAAGTGAAAGACTTACTTGGGGTGCTGCTTTGCCTTCTGGCCTTCAGAGCTTGCGTTTGAATGACTGAATTACTTATGAGCCCAGACTCGGAGAGGACACAGCACTTGTTTGCGCTTGTTTCATCATGAACCTTTACCAACACGCCCAACTGGCAGTCATCCTACATACTTATGAGCACTAAATAAAGCTAGAATAGGTTTATCGTCATTGTACCCTGCCCACCAGAAGCTTCAGAGGGTCTCGTCTAGCCTCCCGATGCCCATGGGGTGTGTGAAAAATGATGCAAACAGACAGTTTTTATTTCACTTGTGTATTTGCTTACTTGTAAATAATAAAATCACCAATGTTCATTTTCATGAGTTTGGTACAATAAGGACATAATAGTAACACGCCGTTAATACAAAATAATTGAACTCTCTTTTTTTTTTTTGCAAATGGTGCTTTCATTCTTTATTGAGCCACCTTTGTTGCTTCTCAGTGCAGAAGCTCCGTCATCCGTTGCCACGCACCCCCACAAGGCAGTCCTACATGCCCATGAAGCATAGACAAATGTGAGCCATGTTAACTCAATACTGTGTGCCCACAGTTGACATGCATCTCCATGCGCAGTACCCTATAGGTGTGCTGCTTGCCAAAAATATATCTGGTAAGCTTAGTGATCAAAATCTGTCATCGACAATGCACTTCTCATAGTGTTGTATGCATTATGTCTTGGGGTCCTCTTTATTGTGCTGCTTGTGTGCTTCTCTGTGTGTTCAATTTCCTGCCTTCTTTTTGACTTGTACTATAGTTCTGATACATCTAGGATTGCTGACTGTTTCCATTTCCTCACATTTTCTTGCAAAGTTCTGAGAAACTAGAATAAAAATTGACTTGAAAGCAGGTCACAGAACTCGGTACTTAAAAACACTTTGGTATCTTTTCTACTTGCAGGCTGGCCACCAAAAACAGTGTGAACCTCGGTGCTAAGGGCTTGAATGCCACTGGGCTGTAGTGCCACCAAGAGTGAGGGGATTTCGTCGTGATGGAAGAAGAGGATGCGCGTGATCACGTGCGATGCAGCAGCAATACTGAGGCGAGGGGGACAGAAAATAAAGAAAACATTGGTTGTGTGAAAACCTGTCAAGTCTTTTTCTCACATGTGCTACACAAGGTATACTAACGTTCTCCTCATTGTGGACATGTACTGTGATAGGGACAGCAGCTGCCTTTGTGTAGTATTTCTGAATGCTTTGTTGTTGTTACTAACACAAAGCTATCACAATTTAACCTTTTACTTCACTAAAATTATAAATGAACTATAACAATTACAAGAGCAAGTCTGAAAAATGTTAGTTTTTGAAGCATGAAGTTAGTTTTGTTTATTTCCAAACAAGTGAACTCCGCTTCTTAAAGGAGTGCCAATCCCTGAAATCCGACTAAGTTGGCATAAAAAGGACTATAGCATCGGCTTTCAGTGCTTGCAAGGAATGCTGCGCGAATGTCAACCGTTTGACACGCTATGTACACAATTGTGTACACCACTTGATTTTTCTATTTGTATTTGTAAGGGCTAAGAAACATCAAAATATATTGACTTTCTAATCTCTTCATTTAACTTCGTTTTGCAGCATACAGTTGCATATTTATTTTTATTTTATTTACTCTCAAAATCCTTACGGCATGAATAGAGGGGACTGGTACAAAGTAGACAAGGAAAATGCAGCATGAAAAGTTATAGTTATTAAACAAAGAATATACTCATCATTATACAATGTTAACTGTGCAAGGACAACAAACACAATACATAATGCAGCCTGTAAATACAGAATAATATAGAATATTAGTCTATTTTGGATAATTACAGAATACTGAATAAAGTTTATTAGAAAACAATTACTAATAGTGACATGTGTTCAGGTAGTTGGTTTTAATGTACAAGATGAAAACACTGAGAGTTGCATAATGCGATGCCAACCTTATGACAAGGTCACTGCAATGGGATATGTACTGAGGATTCAGGATTAGTTGGTCATGCAGGGTGGTATGGCAGAATAATTCGTGAAATGAAGCCAAATAGGATATTTTCCAAGGGGTTGCAAAAGAAGCAAGGCTTCGGCTGGATTTCACTTAAGTTATACCAGCAATGCAATTACAGTGAGAACGTTTCAAGCGGATGGAGTTATTTTGTACAAACAAGTGAATCAAGTTATTGTGGCAAGGGTCTCGCATAGAAGAGGCATATTCAAGTTTGGGACGTAATAATGTTTCATATAGGAGTAGTTTTAGTGTATATCGTAGTTTTGAGAAGTTGCAATGTATGTAGCCTAACTTGTATGAGCTGACTATTTATATGAGGACATTTACCTAGTACGTTAAGAAGATGTCTGCATATCTTTTTACGCACATTTGCTTACATTTACGCATGTTTAAATCTATTTGCCATGTGCTGCACCAAGCTGCTACAGTGTTGAGGTAAGATTAGAGAATTGAACTGCCATTGCCACTACTTACTTTCTTGAAAATTATGCAGTAATCTAAAAAAGATTAGGTAAGATCGGAGGAATGAACTGCCATTACCAATAGATATTTTATTGAAAATTATGCAGTAATCTAAAAAGAATAATGTTTGAAGAAGTTGATGATGTCAGGCTCAAAGTTGGCGTCGGGTATCTTTTTGGCACTGGAGCTGGGTTCATGGCTTGATGGGGGCGCCCAGAACATGAAAGAAACCACCTCCACCAGATGTCGCATAGTTGTGATATGGACTAAGGCAGCAGGCGGCATTTCCAAGATGAAATTTGTTGTTTGGCCATATCTGTGGCCGAGAAACAAAGTCAAAGACTACAGCAAAGCACAAGTTCGGTTTCTTTTTGAACGCACCTCGTGTTATGCCGCTATTTTTGTTGCAATAGAATATCGAGTGCCTTGAAATGTCAGTTTCACACAAGTACATACAGTTCTTCATAGGTGGTATCTGAAGGGGCTAAGAGAGTAGTTCACTTCAATTACTTTTTACTTCTCTCAACAAACCCTTGCACCACTTGGGCCGTAGCCCAATCATTCCCAAAGTTTGAGATTAGCTAGTTTGTATGACGAGACCTCAATGTCGACGTGTTTCATGCATTTGGCACTGTAGTCACTGCCTGCATTGCTTCATCTATGGTGCTGGCAACAGTGCTGTCACCAGGGATATTTTAGGGGGAGAGAGGAACAGATGCTCAGTACAATACTTGCAACAACCCTGAATGGCAGTGAAAAACTTGTGCAAAGACACATACCAGTCATGAGGCACATGAACATCGATACTTGTATAATGCCTTGCTGGATCGAAACTTCATATAGAGATTAAATAAGAGGTGTGAGCATAACATTTCACAGCTCTGCATTTGTATATCCTCGCACTTGTCGAAATTTATATTTTGGGGCTTCTGAATTTATAGATGTCCACATCTCTTTGAGAAACATAAACTAGTATGCGAGCAGTCGTCAAGCTTCTAATCTTCATAACGGCAAAAATATTAGAAATGTATGCAAAGGAATAAGCTATCTTTTATCCTCAATGCCAAAAGACATAATAAACTGGGTGTACTATATTGTGTCTATAGGTGCTATTATGAATATTTTCATAGCATTACAAAGACTTAGCATCGATGTGTACAGCTGACTGAAATGCGTGGCCTCCACATTTGACCAGCAGCTTTCGTTGGCAAATATTTTTACATTTTCAAGGCCACTTGTGGCAGCCTCAGTTGGTCTACCTTTTTTCAGAATGCTTCTTCAAAATTAAGAAATATATTGCTTCTCCTTTTTACAACAGCTTATAAATCTTAGAGCCGGTTTACTATTTCCTCTGATTTTAACATTACATTGCAGTGAAACGCTAAGTTCATTGGCTGAAGAAGTGTATAGGCATTTTAGACAACTCGTGCAAGAGCTTTCAGAGCTTCGCAGAAAATAGGCATTGCTGGCATTAACCGATATATTTGCCACCATGCCTGTGAAGGCTTTGCAAAACAATTTCCAGAATATATTTGCCTTTGCAGCATTTTCTACCTGGCATATGCTGTGTTGCAAGAGGCAGTTGAACTATTTGCTGCATTGAATTTAATATCTGTTTCTAAAGTGTATACTATTGAATTGTGAAGTCTTATTGCATCTTATAATCCTTGCAGAAATCAGGCAGTCATATGCACGGATGTTTATTTGAACAGGTACATGCGTAAGGACTGGCTCTCACCTATGCAAGGTTAAATGATGAGGGGTCTAAGCAAGCAATGATCCTGTGATACTTTGAATGGCATTTCACCCCAGCAAAGCATTGTTTTTAAATGGTTCAAAAATAAAATAAGGTGTACTTACAAGATCCTGGGTGACTTTTATAATCTCATAGTTTCCTAAAAGTAACTCTGGCACTGCAGTCGTTCAGTTGCCATGGGAATGATGGATACTTCACAGATTTGCCTAGCTTTCGTGTTTGCAGGCTTCCCATGCACTTGTGGTTGTGTTTATAGCTATGCATTGATTTTAAACTTTTGCTAAACTTTGTCTTGTGGCAAAGCGAATTCAGGCCACACGGAGCTAAAAGAACGAACATTAGACACATTCGTGTACTACCCATCCCTGCCATGCTAGCTGAAGTGCTGTGCGTTGCAGCTGCCACAAACACTAGCATCAAAGTTCCCTATGTTTCATTCTGAGCATGCTCTATGCTTTAGAACATCCTCCAGTGTATCTCTATGCATAGTCTGCACTCCTGCTTTTATTTCAATTTCATGTGACGACTATGTGGCACTTGTAACCAGGTATGTTTTTTTTTTTTACTTGCCATCAAGTTTGCATGACTGCTTGTTGGACAAGGGCGGGTTGCAGAAAAAAAAAGAGAAAAATATCATGTCGGGGTGCTCGGTCGCATATTATAACGTTGCGCGTGTCTTCACAGCTTCACCGCATTACACATGCATGCTGCACTGAAGCGCCCAAAACGAAGAGAAAACATGGGCGCTTTTTTCTGCAGGACGCACCAGAAAAAAATTTTGTTTTTGTTCGAACCTTACTTGCGCTGATAGGCAATATTTAAGCAGCGGCGTTCTTTTGCCTTAATGATGGCGTATTATCTTGTCCGTGTAATATACCAAGGAGGCGTTGAATATACGAACGGGCGAGGCCGGAAGCTTTACTTGTTTTAAGCAGCACAATGGCGTTTGGAAGGTCTTCGTGTTGCATGGCATGTTCCCTATTCATAATGCGTAGCTTAGAAGTCAGTGCTGAGCATCAGGTAAAGCTAATTAACCCTGAAGTGACGACCGCGACGTAGCGGAGTGTGATTTTTCCGAAACCCCCTTTCTCACCAGCGACGAGGCAAGGCTTGTAACAAGTACGTCATCGCGTTGTTTTGTGTTCATAGCATACAACTTAGTAAACATCCAAACTTACATCGTTGATAACAGGCCGGCAAAACTTTGGGCAGAGCGAGGAGCGCAGCGGTAAAGTGAACTTCTAGCTCACTTTAGCAGCGGCGATGCAAAGCGCGCGCACCGCTTGAAACATAAAAAATTGCGAGATGTCAATCGTAGAGGGTTTTCCTTTTCTTGATCACATCGTTCCAGTGCCCACTTGCGTCATGAACGAGTCGGCTTTAGGTTGCAAGAGGCGACAGGTGGGCGCACACGATTTCTTCGCGAGTATCCAACTCAAACTCGGCGCAGGGCCACATGCCTTGGCAGGGCTTCCTTCCGCGAGCGCGACCCCCCGCTAGCTGCAGCAGCAAGCCTCCGGCAACGCTATGCGAAAGTGCGGGGAGCGACAGCGCGAGGACACAGAAATGCATAGCCTCCAAGAGCGCTGGGCCACGGTGCATTGTAGGGGACTCTATCCGCTCGTCTTTGTAAACTCGCGCCCTGGCAAGGGGGCCACCGTTCGGCGCCAAACAGACGCGGCCTGCCTCCCGGCGTACAAGTCAGGGAGGCCCGACAAAGGTTCGACACCCGTTCCTCCCTCGTAGTCGTAGTGCG